TGCTGCGGCAGCTGCAGCGCCACGCGTGAGTGCGGGAGGGCGGCGGGACGGGGCCGGCGGCCGCGGGACAGGGCTGGTGGCGGGAGCGGGGCCGCTCGGCGGGTCCTGGTCGGCGCTGCGCTGGGCTCTGCGGGCGACACCGGGCGCCGGGGCCTTCCCCGCGCCATGGCGCTGGGCTCCGCTCCCTCGGGCCTGCCCTGCGCCCCTCTGCCGCCCTGCGCAGCAGGGAGGCGTTAATGACCGTGAGATGGTTTAGCACTGTTATAATCCCATCTCTTTCCCTCCCGGTGGATCCGCAACTTCCCCGCGGTGTCACCAGCCCCTCTCGCCACCTGCGAGCCCGGCTCCTGCTSGCCGCTGCCTGCCCTAGGCAGGCGGGACGCAGCAGCGGCACTGGCGGTCCCTGAACGTGCTGCGGGGCCGGGGGCACCACGGGCGCCCCGAATCACATCTGCCTTCCTGGAATCCTTCCCCGCTCCCCCGGGCACCTGCTCGGGCTGTGTGCTGTGTATCCCGTGCACTTGGTGCTGTGTATCCCGGCACACGCCGCTGTGTATCCCGTGTGCACGGTGCTGTGTATCCYGGGCACACGGTGCTCTGTATCCAGGCACACGGTGCTGTGTATGCCGGGCACACAGTGCTGTGTATCCTGGACACTTGGCACTGTGTATCCCGTGCACACAGTGCTGTGTATCCCGTGCACATGGTGCTGTGTATCCTGGGCACATGGCACTGTGTATCCCGGGCACACGGTGCTGTGCATCCCGGGCACACGGTGCTGTGTGTCCCGTGCACTTGGCACTGTGCATCCCGGGCACATGGCGCTGTGTATCCCAGGCACACAGCGCTGTGTATCCCGGGCACAGGGCACTGTGTATCCCGGGCACTTGGTGCTGTGTATCCTGGGCACACGGTGCTGTGTATCCTGGGCACTTGGCGCTGTGTATCCCGGGCACATGGCACTGTGTATCCCGTGCACTTGGCACTGTGCATCCCGGGCACATGGCACTGTGTATCCCAGGCACACAGCGCTGTGTATCCCATGTGCACAGTGCTCCAGCAGCCCCAGGGTGCTCCAGCTTGCTGGGCAAGACAGGCTCCAGTGACTGGACTGCTCCCAAAACTCAGGCCTTGCCAAAACTCAGGCCTCCCAAAACTCCCCAAATCCAGGCTTCAGATAACTCCCAAAACTCCCAAACTCGGATAACTCAGATAACTCCCAAACTCAGATAACTCCGAAACTCCCAAAACTCCGGCTCCCAAAACTCAGGCCTCAGACAGAGGGCAAGGAGGTTGTGGGCATTGAACACTAGGTGGCAGTCGCCACTGTCAAAACATTTAAGGTAAAAAACGGTAGATGAGCTCATGAAGGAGGAGACTGTCTTTTACACAGATTAATGTCTCACATTCTTTTGTTTGTTGTTGCCTGTTTGCTTTAACCCTGTGATATTTGGTTTTCTTCCAATTAGATGTCGGTGCCCAAGCCACAGTCACACTTACTCCCAAGGTAAGACTTAATTTGTGTCTCTGAATTAATTCTGTATAAGACCATGACTTTGTAGGTTTATAGCCTAGGTAGAGGGGGCACATAAAAGGGAGAAAAGAAAAACTTTAAAGAAAAAGGTAAGTAGTCAGATAATTTCTGACTATGCAATAAAAATAGGGAGAGATTCAGCATTTTCATACTACAGGAATAGCTCCTCCTGTGCTAAGCCAGTCTCCAGGTGTTCTTCATCTTTTAGTACACCTTATATATTTCATTTCTTAATTCTGTAAAAGGCTCCTAGAATATATGGTAGGTAGAATTTCTATCGAAAGTAGTAATTTGGACCATATTTTCAGTAATAAGTGATTCTGGGTGGCTTGGTTTTATATTCTTCACTCAAGACATTTTTTGAGAGGTTTTTAAAGAACGATCTTCACTATTTAAAATATGGAAAAGCTAATGTATGTTCAGGTATTTATTATGCCCAAGTTAGCGAGACAATAGTAGAACTGAAAACAGAATCTGGTTCTTCCATGCCTCTGCCAGACAACGTTTGAACTGATCGAGTGATCAGTTCAAGCTAAGCCCTTTGTCAAGGGAAATCTGTGTTAAGGATCCCTAGAGCAGAAATAGAGCGTGGAATGTATATTATACATTATAATGTATATTACACATTAGTTCCACAGTGGGTCTCTCAAAAGCAGCGACCGACTTTGCAGTGGCCCTAGCAGAAAATTGTTCATTGCGTCAYGTGCCAGTATTCTAGAAAATAACCCAATTCTAGAACTTGGAAAAAATCTTGAAAGTTAAGTTTGGCTCCAGAATAAAGCGGCAGGGCGCCCATTCTGCCATCAGAGAGCAAGAGGGTAAATGGCTTTGACGTGTTCTTAGCCTGTCAAATTAATGACTGAGTGTACAGCAGACTCAGGCTCCAGGAGAGGTCAAACACGCACAGCCCAGCAAGAGATGGCACTGAAAGGGCTGACAGCAGCTGGCCTGCGCTTGAATAGGAGGCACATAAAGGATTTTAATACATCTCCGTGCTGCTGTTGTGGGTCAGTGCCCCAGTGCACCCCAGAGGGCCTGCGGGCTCATTATCCTGGCTTCCCTCTTGGGGTCTGAATCCAAATCACATTTTTTTTTTTTTTTCAATTAA